TAGGCATATGTATGTATGCCTTTGCTCATCCATTTATTTAATAAATACGGAAACCCATCTTACTGCGCACAGCCCTATAAAGCCAGACAACGCATGTATATAAAGCTCTACGTGTGTGCGTGCTAGGCATGCATACACCTGGAGCTCACTCATCTTCTACAGATCATGTTAAATGCTATGACCATGAGGATGCGTGTTTCGGAACAACAGGTGAAATAAACTTGAGTTAGCTGCTAACAACCATCAAAACCAAGCATGGACTTGATAACTAGCTTATCTATCTAATGTCCGTGAAGTTAAGGTCTCTTCAGCGATCTATTCAGTGATATCAAGTTCCCTGGCCCTTGAGTCCGCGTATGACCTTGAAGAATGACCTTGAGAGGTCAGGGCTTTCTGACGGACGCTATTTTTCTGTGGTGAATGTTCTGTCATTTGTAAGTTGAAAAGCGGCCGGTAATTTTTGTGTGATACTGAGTTTCCCGTTCTTTGAGCCCGCGTTTGATCTTGAAAGTTGACATTGAGAGGTCAAAACTTTTGGACGGATGCTAGCTCTTGCGCCTGTGAATATTTTGGTGCCTATAGTTTTCAAATCGGCCGGTAATTTTTGGCAGATATCGAGTTGCCCGTTTTTTACCTTGCGTTCGACCTTGAAAGGTGACCTTGAAAGGTCAGGTCTTCCTGACGGACGCTAGTTCTTTCTGTGGGGAATATTATGACATTTGCAAGTTGAAAATCAGCCGGTAGTTTTTGGGTGATATCCAGTTCCCCGTCCTTTGATCCAGCTTTTGACATTGTAGGTCACATGTTACTGCAAAATAAGGGTCATTTTTGGTGTTTTCGTGCCACAATTGACCCTTTAACCTTTTTCAGAGAGATGCCGCTTGCCGGCTGGGCGATGTAATCAGCTGATGGCTGATGACCAGCGCAGAGCTTTTCCTTTGTTTTAAAAGAGCATAACAATATCCTAGCATGCAAGATATGTTGAGAGCGTGATGCACTAGCATAGCAAGTGTCACACACTCAAAAGCCAATGAAAATAGCACATACGCTGTCGGCGGCATGTAAAATTGCTTTCGGCAATGGCGCGTAGAAATTCATCGCCACATATTCGACTGCTGCTCTAAGGCGGAGGCCAATAGGGACGAAACCTGAGCAAACATGGGTGCCACAGAGACCAACAAAGTGGCTCCCGTTAATAAATGTAGGGCCCTCAGAGCAAGCAAAAAGAATCCTAGACCAACGTGGTCGGCCCTAAATGATCGATAGTGCCCCGGCAGGCTGACATATAGGTTCCCGGCCAGAGCACACGACCCTCCGAGCAGCGGGGAATTATCCAAGGCCATGAATTAATACCCCTGTGCGACCTAGAGTCCGCGGGCAGGTAAGCAACACGAGCCTCGACAGGAGTGGAGAGTCCTTCGAGCAAATGAGATAAAAAAAAAACGGAGAGAGCCCGCGATCAAAGTAGAGGGCCCCTGAGCATCGAGTGTCTCCGTGTCTTACCATATAAGAACCCTAACAACAGCACAAGGCCCTCCAAGTGAGTGGAAAGAACCCGAGACTTATATGAAGGCCCCCTGAGCAACTGAGTGTACCCTGGCATATGGGGCCCGGAAAAAAAGTATAGAGCCTTTCGGGCGAATAGGAAAAATCCGTCGAGGAAAACCTGATCGATCAACAGTGGTCAGGCGTGGGGGTAGATAGCAGCCCAACAGCACATTGGGCCCTACTAGATAATGCAAAGAGATCAAGGCAACGTGGAAAGCTCCTTAGCGATCAGAGTGACCCGGCAAGCGGACATATAAGACCAGGTAACCAACGGCTTAATGCCTCTAGACAGCGTAATGAGTCACAAAGTTTCCCCCAAGCAACACTCTCAATCAGCAAAGAATGAATCTCGTCCGCTCATGAACTTTTTACTTTTGCTGAGACTTGCTCTTGGTCGTCTGTGGGCTCAAAGCGATCCAATTTTGTTGTTTTTATCGTAAGAAAACTGCGTCCGTCCGGTCAATTATGGGCCCCTTCGGAGCCTTTAGGTCCCCTAGGCATGGTCCATGGGGCACGGTTCCGTGCCTCCCTCCCCCCCCCCCTTCAGCATCCGCCATCGGCCCGAGCAGCTTAATGGATGCGGCCCGCCAAAAACATAGGGTCATCAATTCAAAGAAGAAATACTCACCACACAATGTGCATGGCTCTGAGCGATCAAGTGCGCTCGAGCAAGTCAATATATAGGGCCCCATGGCCCTCCCTTCAAATAGGAAGTACCCAAGACCCAATGCAGAGGGTTCCCGAATAACTGAGTGTGCCCGAGCAGGTTAACAAATAGGGCTCCCAACAAAAGCGTAGGACCCTCCCTTCGAATGGGGGGAAGACCGAATACCCTAGTTTGTGGTCTTGTGATGTCACTGTGCATTCAGCTGAAGTTAGTCACCAGCCTTCCTGATAATCAGCTGACGATAATAGCTGGAACTGTAACAACCTTCACTATATTCAGCTGACAGTCGCACCGCCGCGGGTTTGATGGGGGATTGGTGAGTGGTAGGTCTGGGGGAGAAACGTCACTTATTGGCATTATATGCGGTATAGAGCTAGAGGAATGTGTGAAAAGAGTTTATGAATGTGTGTTGCATGCATTCATACCCAAAGTGTATTGTTTGCGTAATAGATTAGCCGATATGGACCTTATTACGTTGTGCGAGACCGACGCCTGCAGCGCTGACTGACACCATGTCGGCCTAGAGGCACATGTGACCCACATTTATGACGTACATTTATACATGTTCGTTATAAATAATCATCTGGCAACCTGTATATGGGTAATGCAAATTCGGTCTGGGTTGTACATACTGGTGTATGAGGCTTCTAATATGTATCAATGAAGACATATTTTGTTGGAATGTAGCATGCATCATTGGGGCATATTGATATTAGTTCATGCATGGTAGTACATATTTGATGCAGGTGGGTATTTGGACACTGGACTTGGATTACTTCTAAGTCAAAGGTCAGGTTTTAGTTGTGGGACCCAAAGTCTGAAGGCATCATAAACCTATAGCTACACTGCTGGATGTGTTCCATAAGAACATATCAATACACCTATAGAAGGATGCTGAGGTACTAAGCTAAAGCAAGTTTGTCACAATTATCTGGATCCTTAGCTGTAAGGCTAGACCTTAACCATTGCCAGCATAAAATGTTTTGCTGCAGCCAGCATGGTGTTTTTGTATGCCAGTGAGCAGGCATTTTAAACAAGCCATGCATGCCAGATAGATAAGATGTGAATTACTGTGGATAACAGAATTTCTGAACACACAGTTTGTGTTTTATGAGAATATTTAGTTGGCTGGTTTGTTTTTTCTGTTCCTTACTAATTTAATGTGACAAATATAGAAGTATTGAGCCTCTATCATCTGTTTAAAATAAACTGTATGCATACAATGGGTACTTGAGAGCTCAGTTGTTTGGCAGGGAAGAGGGCTTCAGCCTCCCCAACTTTGATAAAACAGGGGGAAAACCTAGAAGGAAGGATTTGTTGGCATAGTTTGATGTTTCTTTATGAGATATAATTGATATTTTATGTTTGATGCTGCTTTATTATTTTGTATTACATATATATATATATATATATATATATATATATATATATATATATATATATTATTTAATGTTTCTTTATTTTCACTTACCCCTAATTCATCTTGCAAACTACACCTGCAATGTCCTCAATAATAAACAAGACAAAGTCACCTGCTACTCTCATCAAACAGCAGATGATACTGGTATGGCTTGAAATTGGCAGTGAAGATACAACATTATTTACCTAAAATGAGTGCAATAGGCACAATCAGCAATGCCAATTGACCTTATCCTGTCCTTAAGCCCTGCCTGGTGCACAAGTTCCACGGCAGTTGTATGCTGAGCAGTGGTTATCCAAAGAATGAGTAATATCTGCTGTTTTGATTTGACCATCTCTGTGAACAGCAAGGCCTACCTGGGAACATTGAAGGATGTGTTGCAGCTGCAGTAGAGCATGCTCATATGGATATGTGCCATGAGCATGCTCTAACAACAGCCTTTCTGTGTCATTATTGAAATGTGGTGCATGCCAGACATATTGCACCATGCAAATATTGTGTACAGAGGTGAGTGGTGTCTGTATGATGAGAGTCAGCTGGTAATGACCAGGGGCAGCAGGACCAAGGGCAAGCATATTACATCTTAACATGCCCCATCTCCTCCCCCTGAAATTTAAGAGACCCTGTCATGCTAGCAGTTGTCTAGATAACTGAGACAAAAATTCCATAGGATCAGGAGAGCCCTTTTGAGAGATGCCACATGACAAGGGGAGCAAAATCAGGTAAATTTTTGTGTTGCATTTTACTTTTTTTGTTTGGCTTTGCTTTCCCTTGTCCTGGGACATGCAATGTCCCATTGAGAGCAATGACAACCTCATCATCTTGACACCTATCCCACATACCTGACCTATTGACTCAATGATTGCTGATGAAGTAGCTGCCTGCAGATATATCTTCTTGTATCTGACATCCTCATGTATCTTGGGCAGAAGTGTTCCCTGCAAATTGACATCAAGCATGCCTGGCACACCTGAGGACAAATTACCTGAGGCAGAACAGAAGAAGTGGGTACAATTTGGTGAAGATGGTGAAGAAGTAACTCAGGCCTCACTAAATGGAAATTCTCCAGCCACCATTGATGTTCAACACGATCCAACTGAATCCAGTGAACCTGACAACATACGAGTAAGTATGTTGCATGGGAAGCATGGATTTGAAGTAAGGAATGCACATGGTGACAATATATTGGAACCTTGTTCCAAATAGGGCAACATGATGCATGAACCACCCTGTCTGTCCTGATAGCTCAGCTGTTTGTCTTCCGAATCATATATGTGTGGCCAAGTATTCAATTTGCTCTAGGTGCTGGCTATTTGCCCCTGGCTGGAAGAGCGACGGCAGCAGATGTACTAAAAGTCAGTGTACGTCAGAGACCCAGACACTGTTGACCCGGAATTCATGATTAGATGGTGGGGTTTAGGGCTCATGCAACAAGCTATGCATAGTGTGGGTGCTGATCCCAGAATTCCATCAGATCAAAAAGACTTTGAGTAGATTTTAAAAAGCATTCATGACAGCAATTCTTACAGCAGTTACACCATTTTGGTCTGTATGTTTTCAGTATCTTAGTGTAAGTTGTATGCATGTTCTGTGCTCATTTAGTCATATGTTCTTGTCTGTGTAACACCATTTTCAATTTTTCGGGAACGCGCATCAAAGGGTTAGACAACAGCCACGCACGCTTTATTAAGGTTCACCTGAAATCGCCGTTTTTCTACGTCTGCTGGTTGGGGTTCGATGTAATTGCCTACCTTTTCCGAACTCTGAACAATAGGGCATCACAGACAAAACGGATGGATCAGCTTCAGTTGTCATCTCGCGATTGGCTGCCTGTCTCCCGCTGTTATACTGCTTGCTTGTCTTCCATAGCTGACCCCACAGATCAGTCGTCAATGTTCCCGCAAACCAGACCTTTTCGAATACACATGTGGACATTTACGGGATCATGCAATGGAGCAGAGTTGAACTGGTTTAGGTGTGCTTGCACAATTTTTAGTATATGTGTGTGTCTTGTGTTTTTTTGTGTAGGATATGTGTGTAATGAGGGTTTCTGTGACCACAACAGTGTCATGCCTGCCAAACGTGACAGCTTGATTCGTCGGCCTTCGTCCCCCACGGCGCGCTGCCGGGACATTTTCAGTTTGCTCGGCGCCGTCCAGTCCCATGCTCGCTTTCGGCAACCGCTCCAACGCTCAACGCCTTGACGCATTTGGGAGGAGCATTAGCCCACGAGTTACAGCAGTGGTGGAGAAGTGACGCCGGTAAAGGGGCCTGCAGAAGCTGGACAGCCGACCCGGACGTGGCCAGACCTGGCAGCGCCGCCGCCCCGGCGTTGTCCCCCTCTCAGCGGCCTTCACACCGTTTGAGCGGGCGCAGCGTGACCCGGTGCGGTGGCTCCGGGCACACGTACACACAGACGGCTGTCAGGGGGTAATGTGCCGCCGCCGTTGCTGCGAGGGTTGAGCTGCGGCAGCCCGTCGAGTTACGACAATACTGGCATGTCGCTTGGAGAGCAGTGTGTGCCGGGGTAAACGCCGACGCGTGTTCTGCGCAAGACCAGAGCCCTTGGTCTTGTGTGGGCTGGCGTCAGTGGTTACCTCGCGGACGACCGCTCGCCTCCCAACAGAGGTGAAAGATGTTGGACCCACCGGTGCCGGTCTGCGCTGCTGGCAGACTGTGGGACCCACCGGTGCCGGGCCGTCCTCGTGACAGACTGTGCGGGACCCACCGGTGCCGGGCAGTCCTCGTGAGAGACTGTCTGGGACCCACCGGTGCCGGGCCCGCTCGTGACAGACTCTGTGGGACCCACCGGTGCCGGGCCGTCCTCGTGACAGACTGTGCGGGACCCACCGGTGCCGGGCCGTCCTCGTGACAGACTGTGCGGACCCACCGGTGCCGGGCCGTCCTCGTGACAGACTGTGTGGGATCCACCGGTGCCGGGCCGTCCTCGTGACAGACTGTGCGGGACCCACCGGTGCCGGGCCGTCCTCGTGACAGACTGTGCGGGACCCACCGGTGCCGGGCCGTCCTCGTGACAGACTGTGTGGGACCCACCGGTGCCGGGCCGTCCTCGTGACAGACTGTGTGGGACCCACCGGTGCCGGGCCGTCCTCGTGACAGACTGTGCGGACCCACCGGTGCCGGGCAGTCCTCGTGACAGACTGGGGCTCACCGGCGCCGGGCCCGCTCGTGACAGACTGTCTGGGGCTCACCGGCGCCGGACCACGCTCGCCTACTCAGCTGAGCCGTCCGCCGGCATGAGGCACGGAGCGGCTGACGTGGGGCGACCGTCTCCCGCAGGCGAACGTGCCCAGCCCGTCGCCGGTGGACCGGACGCCCACGTCGGGCCGCGGGCAGGAGGTCTCGCTGGGCGCGACGGCGCTGCACGACGTGCCGCTGGCCGACCAGCCAGCCGCCCCGGCCACCGGCACCGTGCTGCAGGGCTTTGGTCAGTGCACCCGCCACCCGGACCAGCCGGCCGCCGTCCGGCTCGGCCGAGCCGATCACCCGAGATGGGCAGCGGCGGGCCCCAACAAGGGGTTCTTGTTATTCCGAGACGCGAGCATGAGAATCGTGGTTTACCGTTGTACATGATAAGACGACGTGAAGCGGTGTGACGGTTTCACCGCCAACTGCCAGGTCACGCGTACCGTGCGTTTGTGGGATTAGCCAAACGCATGCATTGCTTTAGACAATGGGTCCCCAATTTGCCTCTCTGTTAAACAGTGTCTGTGTGTTGTGTTTCTCAAAATGTTAACTTAGTTTGATAGCTGCAGCCTGTGAGAGATCACATCCAGTGGCAGTGGCAACGGCAGATTCACCCTCCGTGCAATTTGCCGCGATGTGTCCGCATTATTCCGTGTCTGTGTGACGTCTGCCTGCCATGGTGTACGGTGACGTCATCATGACCCTTCTGCTGCAGCGAACGGTGACGTCATCGTGACCCTTCTGCCGCTCAACACGGCGCTGCCCTGGATCACCCCGGCCCAGTTCAGACCGGAGCTCGTGCCCGAGGAGCTGATGGCGCAGGGTCTCACGGTGGGTTCAGCACTGTAGGGATGATGGCGCATGGTCTCAATGGTGGGTTCGCACTGGAGTGATGATGGCGCAGGGTCTCACGGTGGGTTCAGCACTGGAGGGATGATGGTGCAGGGTCTCACGGTGGGTTCAGCACTGGAGGGATGATGGCGCAGGGTCTCACGGTGGGTTCAGCACTGGAGGGATGATGGCGCAGGGTCTCACGGTGGGTTCAGCACTGGAGGGATGATGGCGCAGGGTCTCACGTGGGTTCAGCACTGGAGGATGATGGCGCCGGGTCTCACGGTGGGTTCAGCACTGGAGGGATGATGGCGCAGGGTTTCACGGTGGATTTAGCGCTTGAGGGATGATGGTACAGGGTCTCACGGTGGGTTCAGCACTGGATGGATGATGGCGCAGGGTCTCGCGGTGGGTTCAGCACTGGAGGGATGATGGTACAAGATCTCACGGTGGGTTCAGCACTGGAGGAATGGCGGCGCAGAGACCCACGGTATGCTCTACTGTGTTAACTAGACGGTGAGTCCACGCGTTTTGCTCATTATTAACACACCCATCGCGATGAAATGGAGATATAGACACATATATGGGCGAGAGAATGGTAGGGTAAGGGTCTTACAGTGTGGTCATGCGCCGAACGGGCGTGATGAAGCGCGTCAGGTTCTGGACGAGGTAAGGCGATACGCAAATGCTCGTCGGTCACAGTTGCCAAGCTCGGTCGATGGTCGGGAATAGGGAAGAATAAAGGTGGCAGGCTTAGGATAAATGTCAGGGTTAGCGCGCGCCCAGGTGGCCGGTTAAATATGACGCGCTGGGTTGGGTGGGTTAGGGGAGGGAAGGGTGGGGAGTAGAATTTGACCCACTGAACAATGAAAAACTAAGGGAGCTACAGGCACGCTACAGGCTCGGGTACGTCGCCCGCTATAATAATTTTTTTTTTGGTCAAATTGTTGGGTCTGACTCTGTAGGTCGTGATTTCGTTAAATAAGGTCAAACAAGGCCAAAGGCGAGATCGGTGTCCTATGTGCTCCAGACCTCACGCAACCGGCGTTAACCTAAATATTGTTTTTTTCGAAGCCAACGGGGCTATATCAGGTCGGTGACCACATCTGTCTTCGAACTTTGGAAATTATAAAAAAATACGGCGGAAAAGGTAAACGATGGGTAAGAGTTGGACAGCGCTCCTCAAAAATTGGCGGGGTTGAGATATAACCCATACCTTCAAGGATGATGGGTGCACCGCGTATAGAAAATACTGCCTGCACATGTTGGTCCCAGGTTAAGGCCGTACGCTTTTACTGAGAGGACGCGCTTTCAACATTTCCAGAGTGGTATCTCCGGTCGGGATGAACCGAACGGCAAGAGATAGCCCTGGATCGCACCACCCTGCGGATGTAAATCTGGTGGCCTCAAGGTCGTTGACACCACAGGTCAGGTCAAAGGACACATTTTTTATCACACGCCTTGGGCTGCATATCCCGTTATGTCACACGCTATTTCATATATTTAGATTCGTAATGCCTATTTCTTTGAGATTAGATGCGAATTTTTGAATGGATGAATTTCTGGAGTGAGAGCTCACACTAAGCAGTGCTTGTGTGAACGCTGACCTCTACCACCCGATCGCGCAATTCCAGGTCAACTGCAGAATTTGGTGGCGACAGTTTTACGTGCCACAATGTTCGGCACAGTCCGTTGTGCCCTCTGACTCACCGGACCGTAAACACAACGGCTGTCACCGACCATAGACCATACCAGCTGTCAAGGGAAAAAGGGCGGCAGTATTGCAAGCGTAGCGTTCTATTACAAATAGTATAAACTGTGTAAGGATGCACATTATATTGCCGTTCAAGTATTGCCTTAAATCATTGCTTCGCTGGCCGCTAATGCGTAATGCATTTTGGTTTTGCATGTTTCCGATGTCATGTCGGTCCAAAAGTTCAAACAGAGTCTCAACCGTGATGAGAGCAAGTGCTGCGTAGTGCGTTTTCAGCGAAAAATTTATAAAACGTCCCCTTTTTGTGACGTCCGCATTATGCAGTGCATAGTCAGTACATTTGGTGACAAATTGCCGTAACTTTAAGATCTATAATGGGCTTTTCATGCAAAATAGTGGCCCATGGACGGGATGCACTCTTAAAGCATCTTCCATTGAAATATAAGGCGGGCAACAACAGCTTTCGTCGTTCCATTGTGTAGCGTCACATTAACGTAACATACAAGGACCCATGGTTTCCCGGTCTGCCACGAGCTTATTACACAAACTGAATAGCAGCAAGTTGTATTTCTGTTGCAGTATGAACGAATGTCGAACAGAACGTCAATCTGTGCAGCTGTGCCAAAATGACTTTGTTGCATATGCCGATTCGTGACTGCATTTCGGGTCGACATTAGATGACCATTTTGTATTGAGCCATCGTAATCCTTTGGCACTTATCAATTTACAGAAATAGGCCGAAAACCGAGATAGAAGTGCGGTCGAATGCTGCGGGATTGGATGACGTAAATTGTGTACTGTCGACCCATTGTGACGTCATTTTGACCTGACCTTTGGCGAAATCAAATATGTGACGTGCACCGAGCGTGTCTCAATAAAGAAGTGGTGCACCGAGTATCTCAATGTAAGGGGTGTCAAAAAAGTACTAACGGACCGAAACTTCACGATGGGTGGTGGGGTCAAGGTGCACATAAGCACTACTTGCGTACTTCCGACCGCAGAGAGCCATCCAATCAAGAATGTTCGACCAAAGCGCATCAAAGAAGAAGACCAAGCCTTAATCAGACCAAGACAGCAACCTTAACATGTCGCGTCTCACCACGAACCTCGCCGTATCATCGCCCCTGCGTACGCCAAATGACAAACAGACATCTTTCAACGGTGTAGCGCGACTGTGGCCACTTATACGCGGACACGATCTCCAATTTGACGTCACAGTTCCCGGGCCCAGCATAAAAGGAGCTCGGACTTTGTGTGGAGCGTTATCGGCATGAGGACACCACCTGTCCATCCCCGGCAGCTGACGGTGGAGGAATACGTCCAGGGCATGGAGCTGCTGGTCAACGACGTGCGCTTCAACGCCTACAACATCTGCTACAAGCGCATTCTGGTGGGCTGGATCTTAATGGGCTTTGTGGTGCTCATCGCCATCTTGTTCGCCGTCAATCCTGGTATCGAGCTGTTCGGTTGCGGTGTCATCTGGCTCATCGTCAACGCCGTGGCCATCTTCGTCTGCATGTGGATCAAAATCAAAGTGAGTGCTCAGCGCGGTGTGGTGCGGGCGGCCGCCCCTGGGACCGTACGGTGACCCCCTGGTTGGGCACCTCTTTGGTCCCTCTTGCCGCCATTGGCCACGCATCCGAGCGCATGCAGCGTTGGTGGCGGCGGCGTGGGTCATGTCCGCGCTGGCTTGTCCTCGCAGCTCTCGCGTTGGCTCGGTTGCTCTGGTGCAAATGAAGCGAGGCATTGGATTGTGACAGGGCCCACCAGGGGATTGGCGGCGTTGGCGGAGGCGGAGAGTTGGCTGTAGGGGCTCGGAACACGTTTGTCTGGCCATCGGTCTTTCGGGTGGAAGGGCTGGGAACCACTGAGGAGCCAATCCACCTGGGTGGAAGGGCTGGGAGTCACTGGGGAGCCAATCCACCCGGGTGGAAAGGTTGGGAGCCGCTGAGGAGCCGATCCACCCGGGTGGAAGGGCCGGGAGCCACTGAGGAGCCGATCCACCCGGTTGGAAGGGCTGGGAGCCGCTGAGGAGCCGATCCACCTGGGTGGGAGGGCTGGGAGCCGCTGGGGAGCCAATCCACCTGGGGCATGATGCCCACAACACGCCAGTGCCGGAACCGGGCGCCGCCATTCGGGGAAGGTTACGTTGTGCGGCGGCATGATGACAGTGCATGACATGAGAGGCATGACAATGCTCCTGTGCAGGATGACCCATGCGGCTGCCCCACATCATTGTCCGGGGACAGGCAAGCTTGTTCACGTTTATATAACACTCGACACCGGGTTAGCCCGCTGTATTACGGACCCCTGTGTGCGTGCACAGCTGAACCGTGAGCTGGAGCGCTGCGTGGCCCTGGTCAACCGGGTGTTCAGCAAACACAACATCCTGCTGGGCGTGGACGACCGAGGCCGACTCTCCTGCCACAAGGTCAACCTCTGCTTCATCTACTTCCAGCAGCAGGGCTGCTTGGTACGTACGGACAGGATGATGCTGACCAAAGGATTGTCGGGCTCATGTTGGTACATTTGAGTTTCGTCTTTCGGGATTTATTGTGCCGCGATTCTTGCCTTCGCCGCCGGCACTAGAGTTATCAGGGCTGTGTGCCGTTAAGCTATCCGCTCCTGAATGTGGTATGGACATGCGATCGGTTTGCAGCCAGCGGCGAGCTTATGATGCCGTTAGCGTTTTATTCATTTTCGACTATTTGGGGCGGTGGCGGGCTAGAAACGGTTTAACATACCCAGCCCATATTTTATCGCATGAGCGCACCAGGTTTCGTGAAAAAAACAACCGTGCCTGATGTGAGCTACACTGAGAGCTGCTGATTGTCCGGTGGTGAGCTACACTGAGAGCTGCCGGTTGTCCGGTGGTGAGCTACATTGAGAGCTGCTGATTGTCCGATGGTGAGCTACACTGAGAGCTGATAGTTGTCCGGTGGTGAGCTACATTGAGAACTGATAGTTGTCCGGTGGTGAGCTACACTGAGAGCTGCTGACTGTCTGGCGTGCCGACGCCGCCGAGTGGGCTCGCTGGGGCTAGAGCCAGCGCTGGGTCACCTCCGGCCGCTGACCGCGCCGGCGCGTGTCGAGCAGAGGAGACTGCAGGAGGTGGTGGAGCGGGAGGACGCCGGCGTGGGCGGCGAGGATGCCGAGGCGCGCGCCCGCTCGCTGCGCCTCCAGCAGCGCATGGATATTAACGACTCGGACATCATCATTACCGGCAGTCAGACCACGCGTGTCTCCCGCAAACAGGTCAGCCACGCGCGCAGGCGTAACATGCTTCCGTCATCGGCGTGTGTACTTATGTGTGTGCGTGTGCGTGTGCGTGTGCGTGTGCGTGTTTTCGGAGCATCGGAAGTTTGTATCGGAGATTCGAGTACAAAACAGGAATCAATAAACACCCCGACATTTGGGAGGGAAGAGCTAGACCGAAAACGGAGACGTCCACCTTCACTGGGGCTGCGCGTCTCCTTTCACTCACGCCGAGGTTCTGGCTGAAGAATCCAGTACAGCTTTTTGATGCCGGAATTGGCCTGCGGCCGCCACGCTGGTCGTCTGAGGACTTCGGGGGGGGGGGGGTTCCGGTTGTCTGGCGACCTCGGGGACCTCGGGGGGGGGGATGAGGGGCGGCCGTTTGGGGACCTCGCAGTACCCGGCCGTCGGGGACCTCAGGGGATCCGGCCGTCTGGGAACGATTCTCACCTCACCGAATCATCCGAGCGTAAAGGAAAATGCAGGCATCCGCATCCAGGACCGTTGGCTGCCTACAATGCCTCTGTATTGTGCCCGCTTCAATAAACAGTACTAACGCCGCCCCCTCCCCCTTCATCTGCAGTGTGCCTGCATCATGCTGCACTGCCACTGTAATAACCAACCATTCTCCATACTCTGGTTCGTCTCCCTGCACATGCTATTAAACCCGGAATCAGACTGACTAGTACTCATTAAGTTTAAGCTACAAAAGGCACGTGCCCAACTCGACAGTGACTCAGCAATGCGCGAGCCACATGTTCGGACTGTGTCTGCCACTTCCGCTCGAGACCGCCGCCATCAGCGGTGACCTTGACCGCCCTTGACCCGACGATCGCGGGGACGGCCTGTCCCGGTCAAGCGTTTCGTGGCCGGCACACCACACCACCAGTCCACAGCAGTGTTTCTTCGGTGACGTTTAGGTGTCTTTCTCCCGCAGTGTTCTGTACATTTGTGCAGTAAATCGACTAGGATTTAAGTTCATACTCGTACACCAATGTACCTCAATTTTGTCATCGTGCGTGGGTGCGTGCGTGCATGTGTGTATATGTGCGTGCGGGCGGGCGCGCTGGCGCGGGCGCCGCCGCGGGATGGATCGCAGCCAGCTGTCCGTGGCGCGTGCGCAGCTCACGGGCGTGCCGTCCCTGCCAGCGCCACGCCATGGGGCCCCCGGCGGGCGGCCGTCGGTGGCTGAGTCCGGCCGGCCTGTTGCAGGAGCGGGCCGAGAGACTGCTGCTGCGCTACTCGCAGCGCTGGGCCAAGGACTTCCTGCGCAAGCGGCTGGACTGGACGGTGGACATGAACGAGCGGCTGGAGGAGGGGCCGGCCGGCGGCTGCTCGCCCCGCCACCTAGCCACTGCCCGCTGCCCCTGCCAGTACATCGAGGACCACCTCAGCTGGAAGCCTCAGAAGCGACCCAAGGACCGCTGCTGCGGCTTCCAGCTGCCAGAGACGTGCGCTAACATCCTCTGTTAGTGTGCGTCGTCCGGCCGGGCCGGCGCCAGGAGCGGACCGACCTTCAGGTGGCGGTGATTTTTGGTGGGGCGGGCGCGGCGGCCGGTGTCCGCGGTGGGACACGTATTTGTGGTGTGGCACGTGGGCTGTAAAAAGCTAGTGTCGCGGAGGGCATGTATGCAGGAGTGGCGACTCTCACCTCGTCCTCCCATTGTTCTCGGCGACGGTGACCCATGGCTGGCACGTGACGTGGGGCGTGTTAGGCTGAGACAAGGCTGTCTGCGCGGTCGGCGGGGTCGGCAAGGAACCGGATAGGCTGGTCGGGACTAACGTTTTAAATTCGGGACGTCCACGTTTAACACAGACGTAGTGTTAAAGTGTTAAGTTTAGCCTTCGGGTACAAAAGAAGCTGGGTATGTTCTCGAATGCCTTTAAGTCAAGCCCACGACTTATCGTCAATTGTGAAACGAACCAACCGTGCCGCGCTGTAGGGGCGTCAGACGCTGACAGGCTGGATTGACCGACACTAATAATCCAGCTGTCGGTCTATGGGTAAGTTCTGTATGTTTGTTTACTCTCAAAATTTAACGTGGGTCCAGCAGGATAATTTTACTTCTTATCTTAAAATGAATTTTCCATTTACGCGGGGTTTTGAACTGAGAAAGCCGGCGGTACGCAAAATCATGTTCACGATCACAACCTTTTCTAAACACAGTAATCCTTGGGGATCAGTGCAATTTGTCGATCGAACCATTCCATGCTTAAACAAGCAATGACATGTGACTAAGCATTCCAGCACGACTGTCTGCCCACTGGCGAACGGGCGTGTCGTGAGAACTGTGGCATTCCATTATCTCCTTTCCGCGTCCCGTACTATGACATTTTGCTATGCCAGGGATGTTGACTTGTTCGTCCACACCGTACGATTTTTGCGTCGATCGGTCAGTTCTATTTGGTTTGTACGCAATTTGAGTTATTCTGCCAATGAGAACGCGAAGTGATGAAGGATAGTATGGGCCAATATTGCAAGCAGTCAAATGGTCCAGTAGTCTAGCAATCCGGGCAAATAATCTAAAAACAGAAGCGTCTACTCAAAGAAAGTTAGTGCATCTCGAATAAGGGAGGGGGGAGGGGACGGCCGCCTGGTTGGTTACGCAGGGGACCACCAACGCATACTTGATACGCGCGGGTTCAGTGCCCAGACCTGACACAAGCTTAGGATGTTTGAGCAATTACCACGACAGCGGTCGAGTTGTTCAAAAGGTCCTTTGAGCATGCGCCCAAAAGTGTGAACAGTAATAGCAGCAAACACAATCGCAACAAGCACGTTTGCGCACCAAAGTTCTGACAGACTGTCTGATGGCGTCCATGAACAGCATGTGTAAAGGATTCTTGCGCTGCATTGGAGTAGCATTTTCGTCGTTCCAAATCGTGCTTGAAAGTCCTGTCGCGCTGCTGGCTCATTTGTCCATGCGTGCTTTTTCACGTTGCAAGCAGCACTCTTCAAAGCCGTTGCGTTTGTTACTGGTGGCAACTGTTCCATTGGTCTGTGTGTTTTTTTTTGTAGCAGCCCTGATTCGACGCGTGGTAGCTCGGTGGTCTCACTGATGGTGTGGGAACCAGAGGGGCGGATTCCGATTCCCCGTGGTTGCCGCCGTCAGACGGCGCGATATAGTCGCAGCTGCTGAATGTGTCTGAAGGCCCCAATAGTAACCTAGTGCCCTGGTTGACTGCAGTCAGTTGTAGGTTTATCTAGCGAATTAGGACGATTATTGGTCTCGTTTTCGTCTCTGACTCTCGATCATGCTCTCGTAAATTACTGGGGGGGGGGGGGGGGGGGAGAGGGGATGAGAGGCAGCTATGAAAATTTGTTCGTGTGCTGCCCCCGAGCCAGCACTGAACAGACATTGCAATGTAGTTGCATCGCAATGTAGGGTCGGGATTCCACAGAGAAACAAACGACAACCAAAGATTGCAACCCTTGTGCACTTTTGATATGAATCTCTTTCATATGACGTGTGCGTGATGTTTTTTATGTGGAGTTTGCGCACTTTGGCGTCCTCGCTCTTCTCAGCAATTGACTAAATCCGTCCAATGTTAGTGCTTTTTAGAAAGATGCCGTCGTTAGTTATTTGCGATATTTATAAAGCAGTGTGTGTGGAGGGATGTGGTTAAGATGCTTCATGAGGGTTGATTTTACCAACGTAACCTGTATTTTTTTGTGGTACCAGACCATTGCGTTTCTTACGTCTCGTCTAGTTTGCGTAGCTCACTTGTCGCTGGCCGCTAAAAGTGAGCCGAAAGCATCTCAATGAATGACGTGCGCTTGCCAATATATTTCTGCTCATGCGGCGGCGTAGCCTGTGAAGTGAAGCGAGTGAAGGCTTGAACAAGTTGCAATCATTGCAGGCATGGCGGCCGACCGTGGTTCGCTGTGACTGGCTAGAGTAGCGCCGAAAGCCGCATCCGCCTTTCATGCTCATCAGCCAGACCGCCGTCTTAACAATTTTAATTGGACGGTTCACCAGCCCCGTCAAGTCCTTCATAAATGCGTGTGGTCAAATAAAAAAATCAGAGGCTGCCATCATATTTCGTGCTTCCATTTCTCATTGCAGGTCACCATTGTGAGGCACCAGTATCGCGTTGGTGAGGGCGTGCGTGGTATTGTGGTTCGTGCAGGGATTCCTCCAATGAATGCGAATGGTGGTAGTACGGATTGGTTGCGTCGGAACCGTTGACCTGGGGGGGGGGGGGGGGGTGCCGGCTGCGGGACTGAGACGGGGAAGTGTGCCGGCTGACACAGAGGTATTGCACTGTTAACTTAGGCCTGGACTGTGTTCACCTCCGCACATGTTTATCGCTTTTATTTTCAATGCTTGCACGTCAAGGGTGTTTTTTGTAATTGGTGAGAGGTGCATGTTTACAGCACGACGAACAATACAATATTACTAACGAACAATGCGTTCGGTCCTCGACGTTCGTGCTGGTGTGACTACAACGTTTACTCAATCGTGGGCATGTGATGTACGATGCACGTTTCCGACTAGCTGAGGATGAAGCCAACTATTCCAACGCTTCATTTTTGGAGCGATGAGCAGGTAAGCTTGAGTTACAGATACCTGCTCATTCCAACCGGGCTGAAATGGGTGCGCACCTTTTGGGTGTGTTCCTCGAATTCAGGAGCGTTCGTTTTTGCATGGATGCAATGATGCGCATCAAATCTCGGGTCTGCCGTATTAGCAGGCAACGCATTTTTAAAGCCCCGGACATATAGAAAAAACCGGTGGACGTTTTCCTTTGTGGGCTCCACATATAACTGTGTGCATTTGGGCGCTTATCTTCAGGGCCGACAACACCGTGGGCGGTGCGTTTTCCGCAGTATACAAAAACTCCACAGCCATCCCACAATGACAAACGGAATTACCGCACGGATACACGAACTGATGAAGCGAATAAAAGCACAATCTCGCCTAAAACTGCTGAAGGTAGTTGCCGCGACCTTGCAGCAGCGTTTGCCTGTGAATGCTAAGGTGTTCCGCCCTCCCCCGGTCACCAACAGGTATCCCACGAGCCCGCCTGGTCACCCAAAAGCCTGTCTGGACTGTTGAGCCAGATGCCTCACTGGCAGCTCGGAGACCCGTTAGACCGCCGGACACGTCGCATCCTCACGAACATGTGGACACGCGGCGTCGCATTGGTTCCCAGGACTGTTCCGGCTTTTCGGGAGTCCCTCATATCGCCCAAGAGCTCCTCTGACCTGCGGTGAGCCCCTGACCGCTCAAGGGCCCGTAGGGTTGCCCGCCGCCTGGCGGACGGCCTGACCAGCAGTGCCGCTGAAGCCGGCGGCTCAGGTGGCTCAGGTGACCGCCAGGCGGACGGCCTGACCAGCAGTGCCTCTGAAGCCGACGGCTCAGGTGGCTCAGGTGACCGTCAGGCGGACGGCCTGACCAGCAGCGCCGCTGAAGCCGGCGGCTCAGGTGGCTCAGGTGACCGCCAGGCGGACGGCCTGACCAGCAACGCCGCTGAAGCCGGCGGCTCAGGCGATTCAGGTGACCGCCTGGCGGTATCAGAACAAACTACCCGCCGGTGCCATCAGTTTCGCGCCACAAATGCAGACGGTGCCCGAAAACGTGTCCGCGCCACGCCAACTGCGCTCCACACGGTGCTACCCCGCACCGAGGCGGAGCACCGCGGCCATCGAGCCCTTCGCAGACTTGAGCGACGAACTGCTGGGATTCTTCAACAGCGCATTTATTTTGTCGGATCGCAGCGCCACATTCCACGCATCAGGTGACGCCGCCCTGCACGGCCACAAAGATTCGCGTCGTGTGGATGGTTGTCGCCAATGTACAATGGACGGCACGTGATGATAATGACGTGCGATTTTAGGGCGCGTCGACATCAATGGTCATATTGCGCTCAGGCGGCATTCGCATGGCGCCTTGCACCGTAAGAGTACGTATCGTAAGACCAGAGACCACTGGACGCCATAGAGCGCGACGCAGACCGTTACAATGGCCACCGAGCAGGTGACGGTAGTGCTCACTGTATTTTGGCGTTAGATTTCAGTGGATAGTACATACCGGACATTGTACACTTCTCCTTATTTAAGTCAATGGCGTAAAACAGCTGATCAGCCACAGCCATGTTCTGAAGTGTCAAGGTCGTACAAGGTCAGCACTTGACTCCTGCAAATGTACATATTATGTGCAAATGTGTATATTATGTCACTCCGCCACGACTCCCGCCTCATCGCCCACTCGGAGTGAATTATGCAAGATGCCAGGCCGCCACGCACACTCACACGCACGCACATACACAGCCTGAAAGAGCGCAGCCTCCTCTCACAGGCTGCCTCTGTGGGAGGTATTAATGAAGTCCGCCTCGCCGGCACGACCCCGTCGCCGCTCAGACCACATCGTCCATGATGCGTGCGTGGATGCTGTCGTAGAGCGGGAGCAGCCGCTGCAGCTCCTGGTCAGCGTCGATGACGACCACGCGCGGCCAGTGCGCCGGCCGCTCTCCCATCAGCCAGCGCTGGTGCCAGCAGTGCAACTGGCGCAGGTAGTCGAGTGTGACGGGCGCCTCCTCGGCGCGCGCGCGGCGCACCACGCGCTCGAACGCGACCTCGGGCGAGGTGCGCAGGTACACGATCAGGTCGACGCCGATGTCAAACCATGCCGCCGACCGCGAGTAGTACTCGGCGAGCACAGCGTGCTCTGGCGCCTCCAGCGTGCCACTCTCCAAAGCTGACTCGACAAAGCAGAACCTACCGGAGGACGACATGGCGTGACATGCACAAGCGTCGATGCCATGGGCGAGAACGATATCCGGAGGTGACGAATGCACACGGCAGGGGAAGAAAAATCGCCTGTTAGCTATAAGCCGCAGGGTAATTTTCGTGTAGCTTTTTCGAAGAGCGGGCCAGGACGTCACTTAATGTACGTTTGGATGGGAGGGGGGGGGGGGGGGGGAGCTGAGCATACCGATTTGGTCAAACCATGCACCTCTGAGCTCTCTCAATGCATATGACCAAAGAGGGAATAGTGGGCCAAATAAATACAAATATCCGAACTCAGGGTACGCTACGCACCCTGACAAATCACCGCCATGCTAGTATCACATGCATTTTGTATCAAACATCTTGTAGGCATCTTTTATCGCGTCAGCTCCGTTATAGGATAGGCCAGTCCACATGTTTGGAAAATTTCAATTGCTAACCCCTATATGGGATAAAGAAAAATTCACTGCAATATATGGCAGCTTTGAAAGCGCAGGGTGGCTGAGACACAAGCAACTCCACGTGTCCCTCAACAGTATGAGGTGCTGGTTGGCCATGATAAAAGTAACCCAAGTTTCCTAAAAAGTGACAAGTGTCTTTGTCGTACCATCGTGAGATCGTGACATTCCCCTGCCAATTGAATGACAAAATATAATCAGCGATGGTCCTATTCATCGTCGATTTTTCCAGCAGTCTCCAACGGCCGCTTCAAGTGTATGCATGGAAATCCCACAGATCGATCAAAACATTAAATAAGTGCGGTCCTGAGCCCCAGCTAACTCCCAGCTGGCGGCGAGAAGATGGCTTCGAAGATTCGCTTGCTTGCTGTCCGAAATAAAACACCGCCTTAAAACGTCGAAACCTCGGTAACCTCCAGCCAGCAGCGGAGCCCAGAGTAACGACGCCATCGACAGTGGCGGCCAGCTGACGCGGCAGCGCCGGCCAGCGGTAGCCCTGGTGAGAAGCACCTGCCCCGCCGGTGGCGGTGGCGGAGAGTAGCGACGCCATCGACAGTGGCGGCCAGCTGACGCGGCAGCGCCGGCCAATGGTAGCCCTGGTGAGAAGCACCTGCCCCGCCGGTGGCGGCGGCGGAGAGTAGCGACGCCATCAACAGTGGCGGCCAGCTGACGCGACAGCGCCGGCCGGCGGTAGCCCTGGTGAGAAGCACCTGCCCCGCCGGTGGCGGCGGCGGGTCCAGCACCGGCCGCTTGCCTGTTGCTCTGAAGGGAGCGTTCGATGAACTTGACTCGACACGGCGTGGCGTCCAGATGGACCTGCAGGCGGGTCAGCTGCACGTACGACTGGAAGAGGAAGCTCCACCGCTTCGGGTCCTGATACAGCTTATCCAGCAGGTTGTGGCCGTTCACGTTACACCACTTCTCAAGCGGCTCCTGCCGGCAAAACATGAGTAGGATTGTGTAAACAATGGTGGCCGCGGGGAACCCGATGGTCTGGAGAAAAGCACACGAAAGCCTCGACATATTTACTCCTATAGTGAACAATATTCCGTGGACCTGTCATATCTTGGGATTAAAACCCCGTATTTTAATAATCTCTCTACACTGACAAAAAAACATAGCGAACAAGTACACGATTCCGAAATCACGATCCACTGCAATACGATAGTCTGTACAAGATTCCCAGACAGACCCTTTATAAAACACGCCACCGTAAGTACCGCTATCTGCGTGAGACAAATACTTGTATTTGCAGCCAAGCTGTGAGGTGACCTCCCAAACGTCCAAAAGTCACCACCGTTCGACCTCGAGATAAATGCGAAATGGTGGAATCTGTCGATTCTGCACCATAGACAACTGATGATAATTCATGATCCTAGAATGGGAATTAATCCAGAGTGAATCAGGGCCACGGAGGGCGGGGGAACATGGCTGACGGGAGCAAAATTCTAGCGACAAGTTGGCTGGCCTCATGACATCCATTTTTGCCATGAATGCGGCTTTGCCTTGACGCTCCACTGCACCAGGGGTCTTTGGCGTCCCCGGATCCACTCCTGTCGCACCAACAGGACTGCTTTGACGACCAATCATTTCTCTCCAAACTACGCATTTTATAGCAACGTCATTTACTTTCGTAGGGGGATTTCTGCTTTTTCTACTCCTGACAATTTACTAACAATACGATTCCTCACTACTTCCTCACAATTTACTCCTGACATCGCGTACAGGCTTGCGAGATACATGCTAGTTATACGTTATATGTCTGTATAAGGAACAAGCGCCCGACACGTCATGGGAGGCGTCAAGCATGATGCATGCCAGGTGGCTGAGGCGGAGGGGAGGGAACAGGGCATGGCGTGGTGCTCCGTAGCTGGTGGTGGAGAGCATTGAGCCGAGGTCAATGAAGAAATGAGCGCACACGCTTGACTCCGCGTTTGTTTGTCAACAAGCTGTAATCGCTCTAACTTTCTACGGGCTTATAATATTGGCCTGTTAATGATGAGTGGAGAAAATATAAACGCCGTGAAAGACTGATAGACTGATTTTATTCATCATATATTTCCTACCCAAGACACTGAAATTGTATGCCAAAACTGCTGTCACAAAACAATCCGTCGTACTGTGGACGAGGAGATTTCTTGCAAAACATGACCCCTCCCCGCCACACCCTGAATATCGGGGGCACACTTCAAGACCGCCACCTTTCCCGAGTCAACGCGAGCAATTACCTCAATAATGTGAACACCGTCCATTCCCTGGAAGTGCTGCAGGAAGGTCGACTTGCCACTGCCGACATTCCCCTCCACAGAGACGGTGAACGGCCGCGAGGGCCGGTCAGTCACCGGCTGCGAAGGCCAGTCAATCAGCGTCCGCCTGTCGTCGACCGACAGCGGCGTCAGCTGCGCGGCCGGCATCTTCGTACGCAGGCGGAGCAGTGGTGCCAGCCAACGGACCACATCTGTAGAGCACACAAACCCACATGGTGTGGTCGGTCGCCACAGGGCACTGGGGCAGGGGGGGGGGGGGCACACAGGCCAGCTCACAGTCTGTCGCTGCCAGGGGCAGTCTGATCAAAATCAGATAACAGAGATGAACACGAATACCACAATAAAAATGAAGTCCACCATGGTGTGGCGTTGTTATCACCTTAAGGGCAGTACAGAGGGCAAGACAGGTAAGTTAAGGGCAGTACAGAACTAATCTTGTTCTGTTGTCTGCCCTTTCAATTATTTTGTCCTTGGCCCTCTGATGTCAGCATACTGCCCAAGACCTGTCCCATTTGCATTTATCCATCCTTTATCATTTCCCATCTTTCACACAGCACAACCAAATTCAGCCTCCCTCTTGGCTCTACCCTCCCATGCTGAACCCTTTCTCCCCAACATCCACATTTCCTTGCCTTCTGCAGGGACATCTTATAGAATAAGTTGGTAGGATGGGCAGTGAAAAAGGTAAATCCCACTCCAAAAATATGACCAAAACCATTACTCCCATATTTGGCCTGTTCTCTTCAGACAGTCTTGGGGAAGACTTGAGTCCCCATCTGAATTGGAGACTACTGTGCTCGCCTACCCTGTGCTGCTATCAATGTTGGCCTCCCTTCTGCCCTGCTTCTATCAATATTGGCCTCCCTTTTGCCCTGCTACTATCAATATTGGTCTCCCTTCTGCCCTGCTACTATCAATATTGGCCTCCCTTCTGCTCTATCTCTTAATCTGACATGTCCTTCATCCCATTCTCTGTGCAGTACTATAGCCTGTCCTATGCACTGTCTCATGGCACATTAGTGAGTAGTGAATGTACCTGTCAGGCCAAATGCTCATCATTATCTGTTCTGTCCTCTGTCCTGAATTATGTGCTGATCTCTGTGTTGAGGGCAGCACAGCAGACAGACAGCAGGGTCATGTAAAGGTGACATGACACAGTGGGACAGAGGGCAGGCAAGTGCAGAGAACCAATAATGACTGGTGCTTGTCATGATGGGAGTACATGGTTGGATAGGAGATTGAACAAGACTTAAAGTATGGTATGACAGATGATGGCACAGAACAAAGAATAGGATTGGTGGGAGGACAAATGTCAGTGAGTTGATGGCAGTGAAGCAGAGGACAGGTGGCAAAAGGCAAAGGGATAAGACATGTAACAGCTTTATCTATCCTGCCCTGGCATTGAGATAACAATGAAGAGAAAACAGGTCAGGATGAGTCATGCATTATTTATTTTCAATCTCTCTGTTGCTCTTAAACTTTGTCCCCAGTCCTCTATTCCCTGCTCCCTGCACTTAATGGCAATTTATCCATCCTGCCCTCTTTTCTGCTGTGCCCTGTTCCAGCTGCAATATATAACATTTTTACCACTCTGCACCCAGTCCTGCATTATACCCTGACCAGCTTGATCCTCCGCCCTGCCCTGCCTGGTGTCTCATCCTGTTCAATGTGCTGCCTTATGCTGCCCTCTGCCCTGCTCTGTGCTGCCATCTACCTTGATTAAGGTGAGACATAAACTAGGAATCTTCTGTCATCTGTGTGGTAGTGTACCATTGCATCCCATCATTGACACTACAATGAACTGTTCTATCATACCATTTCATCCTATCATTGACAATACAATGAACTGTCCCATTCCTGATATCCTGTGCCCATATGCACTGCATGCTTGATTGCACTAAGTTTCACTACACTTTTCCAAGGCTTAGCTGCAAATGACATCAGTTATATGAGCTATCAGGATCCCAGCTGTTGATTTTGCATGTTGAAAGAATGTTGCCCAAACAGCTCAACATTGTGCTTAATCTTTATGAAAGTATTTCCAAAATGCATGACAAATGGAATTACATGCTTCAGCTCTTTCATTGCTCAATGCATCCAAGGAACTTACAGCTAGAGGGTGTCCCAATAACATGACACATCTCTTCCCAACATGACTTCAATCAACTCATTCCCAAATTCCAAGTTTCCCTAAACTTTGGCTAGTTCAATCTTATATTGAGATATGGAGGCAGCAAAAATATAGCAAATTGGCTGCAACATGAAATGAGGCTAGAGCAACTCTGAGTGCAGTAGCAGCAGAGAGCATAGGGGAGGAGGGAACATTTCACCAGTGGGAAGGGGGGTGGGGTTAACCAATCACTGGGGAATTTCTGCTCCACACATAACACGTCAGACAAATGGTCAGGGTATACATTGCTACCTCATGTTAAGAGAGACCATTGCACATCAGTTGTGGTTTTTAAGGTAGAACATATCGTAATTAATCGTAAAACAGGTCATCTAAGCCCTTACCTTGGAACTTTAATAACTACGATAGCGAACATCCGAGCGCAAACACGCAGCAACCACGACCCCGGTGCCATTTCTACGCGACATTACTGCGCATCAAGAACCATAAAAATGTACGAGGTCAAGGTAACAAGAATTCAATAAAATGTGTTTCTTGTGTATCCAAGCAGCCTTCCATATTGTTTGTCGACTGGTCAACATCGTGGGGAAATATGACGTTTTTGCGTGGGAACAAAAAGCAAAATGAGAACATGGTGGCTAAACAAAACTTCTTAATATGGTACATATATATTGCATGGAACATGGATGCCAATGGGACACTGGGTTGAAGGGGATAGGGCAGGGGTTAGGTTACATTACATTAGGTTAGGTTAGGTTAGGTTAGGTTGTTAGGCTAGGCTAGGTTCGGTTAGGTTATGTTAGGTTATGTTAGGTTTAGTTAGGTTTAGTTAGGTTTGGTTATGTTAGGTTAGGTTAGGTTAGGTTAGGTTAGGTCAGGCTAGGCTAGTTTAGTTTGTGCTATGTTCTGGACTATTCTGGCCTGTCCGTTTCATAAACGTAACTAGATGTGATAAACATTTTTCATTGCATTATTATTGTTACCTTGGTCAGCCACATTTTTGATGGTTCTTGATAAGCAGAAATATTGTAGTTACGCAACGGCAACACAGAAACGGCGCTGGGGAGTGGAGGTGGTGCGGTGTGTGCGGCGCTCGGGAGCTCGCTATTGTAAATATCAAAACCTGAAAGTAGGAGCATGGATCTACCTGTTTTAAGATTATTCACGATACATTCCGCCTTAAACACGACAAATGTACAATAATTTTTTCCAACGTTAGGTAGGAATGTATACCTACACCAGCAAACCCTGACAGAGGCCACTGTAAGTTACATGCCAACAGAAGATGCATTGATCCGATTATAATATAACTGAAAATAAAGACATTTTATTTTTTATTGAGCATTTTGATTGTGTTAACAGCATACATATTTTAACAAGCAAGTTTGAAATGTTTCTGTGCCATATTATGATATATATATAAAAACACCACACACTGCATGTCATCCAGCAGTCTCACCATCATGGATTTGAATGCCTATTTTTCTTAATTGGATGGCTATGGGCACCGTCTCAGGACCTGGTACACCCACCATCGTCACATTACACGCCTACCGCCAAATACCTATCTAGAAGAAACGCACACGTACCTACCGCCCAATACCATCCGCGTATCTATTATCTTTTGAAATTGTGATGCAGGGTGACACCGTGCATGGGCTTTGCTTAAACCCGGGTTTTTACCCGCTGTGTAAAAGGCATTGACGTCACTGGTGCCAAGACCGCAATGCGGCGAGGCCGCCAGCCGCGGGGTGTAATGAAGGCTACGAGGCCGTCGAAACATCGGAAATCTCCGCACTAGGAATGAACGAACTGTTGGCCTGGTATGCATATGACCAGCGATTCAATTACGTAGAATATAATGACAAGTATGATGGTACGTTCTTCAACCCGCCCGATATCAAAATGCAATGGCATGAAAGGTGAAAACGTACACATGAGAATGTCACGAGACGGGGTGACAGAACCATCGGGCTCAGGGACGGATCTAGCCTGGAGCTCTTTTTAAGGGGGGGGGGGGGGGGGGGAGGGAACCGTTCGTCGCCAGCTGGCTGGTGTGGGATCCGAGGTCCACTGCACTTATCAAACACGATGTTTGCGCTGAGTATGACTAAGCCGCGTCAATATGCGTTTTGTTTGGATATTCAAATCACTGCCAACTTTTCTTTATGAAGTTTTTTTCGAAACGGAAAGAAATGTTTGATACCGCACTATCAGAGTTAAAACAGACGGTAAGTAGAGAAAGTTTTATGAAGTTCTGGGAATGCTTTGGGGGCCAAAACATACTCCCAGAGTTTTTGGGGGGCCATGGCCCCGTGCCCCCCCCCCAGGATCCGTCTAAGATCAGGCTCCCTTTGTATCAGTACCTTAGATACTGAACAAACTTTTAGCCGTAGGTGTGTATTGCCAGGAAACCAGCTGTGTAGAATGTAGCGTCGCGTGCGGTGCTGTGCCTGACAAGTTTATGCAACAAGCCATCAAAATGAAATCGGCGCGGAAGTTAAAAACGCCTAAGCGGGACTGCTGCCGGGACATCGGACTGCTTTCGTGTCGGCAATAAACTAGCAGCTGTGGTCTGTCGATATAAGCAGGAAGCAGGCTGCGCAGAGTTTAGTGGAAAGTGGAGTGATGTTAAGTGGGAGAGTATGGGGATCAGGTAGAATTAAGTGGCAAGCATGACCATGTGCTTTGTATGCTTATGTTAAGCAAGGCGTGAGAATTGAAAACGCCTATGCACGGGCGCGGGTCTAGGAAGGGGGAACAAATTTTCCTAAAATTTGGCATTGGCCCTATGAGCACAGACCAGAGAGAAATAACCGAAGTGGCTCTCGTATCCCCCCCATCTTATGTGACCATTTCTTGTTCCTGAACCTATGCAGGAACCAGCTACCATACTACGCTCAGCGTTGATCTTAATTTTGTTTTTTGCGAGGTTTTGCAACATATTATTACGGGGCTGTATGCAAAGTAAGATAATCTTTTCTGATGCGGCACGAATATTGACACGGAAAACTGAATACGTGGCAGCCGACACCATAGCACAGTCAACCATGAATCAAGGTTACGTGGACGCGCGTGCTGCCCATAAGGCTTTGTACAAAGGCCAGCTTGTGGTCCCGCATCATCACGGCTTTTGAGTGGTCGTGGCTCAACAAACTATGCTCGGGGGTGGAGGAAATGTGATTGTTGGATCGCACAGCCGCTCGTATGAAACGTATAAGGATTTATGAGCTGCACAGTCAACATATTCCCTCAAAAAGTACTGTATCACACCTAGATGCCGCGTTCTGCAGCCAGTATGTCTATCTGTAATTATACCGACATGACACGCTGGCGTTAAGCACAACAATGCACGTAAACATCTCAAGAACGCAACGCATATGGCCCGAACTCACAGTGACTATGCAGACAGGTAGCGCCCGAACACTGTCAGCCCCGCACAGGGAAGGGCCACTCAGGGTGGCTGTACCTCGACAACAAACAAGCTCGCAAAGCAGTGGTAGACTCGGCACGCTGCAGCCACGCTATCGAACTACAGTAGACAGCAGACTCGTTTCGTTTGCCACTCACTCGCACCATCGGCGGCGACATCAGCACGTGGTTCGAGGCCGTTTAAGACAAAAGTGCATTGCAATGGCTTCGTGATTATGGTTGCCAAGTGTATCATCATACTTGTTAATTCTATGCAATCGGCTCGATGGTCGCGTACACATCTAACTAACGGTTTGTTTGTTATGGGGTACGACAGACCGCTATTCCTGCCGCTCCTTTGCCAATAAGTATTGTGTTTTCGTCTTCACCTTTCATCCCGTAGCATTTTATTGGGTTGCATCATAAGCCTGTAAAACACATCACCATCTCTGCCTTAAATCCTACTCTATCTGTCCGTTGTCATATGCATGCACCGTACGCTTTGCATTATCGGTAAAAATATTTCAGTGATCCCGTTGCCCCCCCCCCCCCCCCCCCTCCAAGCGTTAAGTCCCGGCGTCTAGCGGCCCACCGGGCACTCTGCTTCAGTGAAGTCACGGTAAATTTAAGCGAAGATGAAGCAAAATTACTGCGCGGTTTTCCACTCATGTACGGCCTTAACTGCCAATGAGCGATGTATTATGATGTATACGTCCAAAGGCTTTCGAATCGACCAGAGGATCCCGCCCCGTATCACCAGAGAGACAGCCCAAGGACACCCCCGAGTTGGGCTGGAATGACCCTCCAGGCCTCGACGGGGTACAGTAATATGCCCCTAGGGCTCTATTCAAGTGGGCTCCTTGCCCGGAGAGAAATCAGGGGCCTCGTTGGTGTTGAATGGGGTGGGTCGAAGTAAGTTTAAAACGGAGAAGGCCATTCATTGCTTCCATGAGAACGTTCATTCTTTTGCGGAATCGACTAGTGAAACCATTGCTGGGTTGCAGCCTCCGTGAAACTGCACGGCGTTAGCCACTGCAAGTGACACCAGGCGGCGGGAGCAGTGCGCGCGAGACGACCGCCTTGATTTCGTAGTTACGAATGCCGTTCAAAATGATGATTAAACTGACTGTATCTTTTTCACAACTTCGAATCTGCGCTCTGGACAGATTAACAGTCACAGCAGCACAAAAATAGAGGTTCTTCCCTTACTCTTCCAGCTCCATCGCCAGATTCCAGCACCACTTAACGGTACTGTAAAGGCCAATCCTCTCTTGTCATCAATCTTAAGGTCGCTCACGTAAAATGCGCACCCGGACCACTTCTCAAGTGTAAGATTTGATGTCCTGAAGACAATTTTTTTCGGAAACGTCATCATTTTCGTCGGCCCATTGGCCGCGGCTGCATTAACCACCAGACCAACGCGGCGTGGCCTACGGAGATTGCAGCGCCTGTGCAGAACTACGTCGCATAATTTGCACTACGAATCGATGGTGACTGAATCCCGAAGATTTCTGGGAAAACATGGCTTTGCCATGCTACTCAAAATTGTTGACCCATTTCAACGTACAATCTACGGCCGTGCAGCGCTCATTATGTCTGTAGAATCCAGATACAATTTTTGATAAGGTTTATGAGTTCTGCCCGGTTAGAAACAGTCCACTGAGCCATTGTAAATTGGAAAACGCTCGAGATCTATTCTAAGGTTACAGATGGCCAAAAATAAAGGAATAGATGCCTTTGTTAAGAAATCGGTCATCCCCATAATTTTTCGGGGATGGACCTTTCGCTTTCAAGGGGCCCATTGTCAGCCCTGTAACCCCCCCCCCTTGCCAAGAGTCTGGCTGCACGCCTGATTCGTAGCCTCCTGTCGTCATAATTATTTGGACTGTCCAACTGCCTGTGTTATGCACCACAAAACGCGGTTCGTGAGCAAGACTTGCATGTAGTGCTTAAGTCCATTAAGCTGGACGAAAGCCAGCCTTTGTCCATGGATGCGTCGATTCGTGCTAACGTGTTCCAGACACGAACAAGTCAATGCTCCTATTTTTATTGACATTTAGCATGCGTTCGGGGGGGGGGGGGGGTAGATTTGAGCCCCGACGATTTTTTCAAAAAGATTTCGAAACAACGCGGCGTTGCTACTGCAACATTTGCATAGTTGTAGATTTGATAATTTAATAGCGGATCGTTTGTCATACATGATTGAGATCTACTTTGTAAGGTCACTGCACTACTGTAGATCAAAGTGAGACCATGGGTTCAGCGAAGGCAATTTCTAGGGAATCGTTCAATCTGATGCAACAATGGAATGTTAGACGAAGCCATATCTGTGAAATTTTCCTAGGCAGCAAGACAACACCTGAATGAACAGATGTCGTTGATCTAGAGTCGAGTATGAAAGTCAGACCAAGGTCAAAACCAGCCTGTTTTTTACTCTAGAGTTTGCTGCATGCGGTCGTTTCTGGTGCTCATTTCGAATCATTTGATAAAAGGAATCGTATCATGCATTTGTTATGGATTTCTTAAGGGTTAGAATAAGCCACTGACCTAAAATGACTCAGGCAAATATTTTGTCTTTAGAAACGTGCTGCCCAGGGTAATCCTGGACAATTATTTAAATGCAAAAATCAAAGCAGTCTTGTATAATTCTGGTCCCCATGACCTTCAAAAGTTCACACGAAGCACCAGTGACGTCTTGCTCAGAAGAAGCATCTAGGTTCACGGTGGTTGCATGAGAAGGTCTGGATGAACTTTGGACACCAATATAAAGTCTGACCTTTTTGACCTGATCTGACCCAATGTTCATGACTTATTTGCCTCAAATTTTGACTCAAGTGAACTCAGGTACAGACAACCCCACTTTGTAAATTTGGTGTATCTCACTCCATTATTTTCTGAGATATCAGAGCGGTCAAATTGACCCCTATACCCGAGTGCAGGATATTCAACCGGCCAACCGAGCGCGTGCTAACACAGTGTGGCCACTGAGGAAGCAGAATTCGTGTGATGTCTCTGTATGAATAATGAACTAGAGGGAATCGTCCTAAAAATCGCTGTTCCAGTTCAAACCGCATACAGTTGCAAACAGTCCGTTCAATCATTCGCTGCAAAGTTTTGACGTCGACACGGAATCTTGCGATCAGCTCAAGGCTCGCCACACAAGCATACTTAACGTGGACGTTCACCCAGAAATACAGAAAAATCAAAAGGTTGGGACTAAACCTTAAAAACTCATAGTTGCCCCAATCATTCAGAGTTCAGCACACCCCATGGATTCTAAGAAACCAGTCATTATGCCACAGGTGGGCACAGCCGTGTGCATATATTGTGGCCCTCAGCCGCGTGAACGTATGCATGCGTAAGTATCCATCGTTCTCAATGGGACCGAATACACGGAGAGCTGGTGACGTCTCCCGATTGTGCCACCAATTTTTGTTATTAGCAGTACATCACGTTCGCAGCAAAGACGGATAAAGGCAACATATAAAGACTACCTATGTCAAACTACTGTTCAAACAGGGTGGTCCAAATAAAAGTCAGCCCACGTTTTGCTCAACATCCACAGGTGTATTTCCCGCACAATGAAGACT